CTCGAGAACTGGACTTAAACCCCAGTCCTCCCAATTTCAGCCTACCCAAGTAGCTAGGATTACAGCCACCAGTGCCTGGCTCTGTAAAGCCTTTTAAAAAGAGCTTTACACTTACTAGATGTAAAATAGTTTGCATCTTTTACTCCTGGTTTAAAAAGAAGCTCAAATTCCAAATGTGACAGTAAGACCATAACTATTGCTTAATATGTGCAAAAGTGCTGTCTTAGGAAGTTCCTATAAAACAAATCCCTGTAGAGTAAAAGTGATTTTAATCAAATTACATGAAAAGAAAGATGTACACTAGTCCAAGATTCTGATTTATAAATTATGTCTAAAAAGAAAACATTCTATTGTTTTCCTAAAGATATTATCTGTTTATGAATAGCAAACACTGTAAAGTTTGTTCTTTTAGGTTAATTAAATATATAAATCACATAATATCAGAGCCCTGAATAAACTTCAATGATGCTTGCTTTAGCCCATCCTCTCATGTTACAATGGAAAAGAGAAAGAAAAAAAAAAGGCAAGAGAAGTTAAGGCAATGCATCTTAACTGCTTGCTATTGTCTGAAATCTTTCTTAAATCAAAGAACTTTATGAAGTAGTGGAGGAGAAAGTACTTCTTGTACTCAGAGTTCTCCCTCTTTGCATTTATCTTGACTAGGATGTTGTTCCTTCTCCCATTTTTAACTCCTCTCCTCCTTTAATCTGGCAAATGGCCTCTCAACCTTTAAGACCCAAGTGTGGTGTTAATCCAGAAAGCTGCCTTTGCCTTACACTGAACTGCACCCATCCACTAGCAAGGTGAGGAGCTGCACCCTGTGCTGGCTACATACTTCCAATCATGATGATCTGGATGTCTTCTGGAAGTAACTGTACAAAGACAAGGGCCAAACTTTCATCCTCCAGAGTGCAGAATGGGACCTGGGCTTACTTTTTAGAAAATATATGCCAGTTAACCCTAGTGCAGTGGTGACAGATGCTGAATCAGCAAGATTTTTGTTAGTTTTCTAATGTATCTTGAACCCTCTATTGACTTCCATCCTACAGCCAAACAGTTGTCCATAATCTCAGGGGAACTGGCCAAAAAAGCCATGAATTTATTAATTCTTGAAAGTTGCAAGCATCTCATTTTGTAGTGTTAGTACAATTCAAAGTACATAGGTCTTTAAGACCTATGTACATACCCTTTCTGAAGGATATTAGAGTTCAGTTACAAGGAGCAAAAAAAGAACAGTTAAATAAACAGAACAAACTAGAGAATATCATTTGTGCAAGTCTCTGGTTGCTTACACTTAGTTTCCTAGCACATTGTGAAAGATACAGTTTTAAAATTAATAGGTTAATCTAGGCTTAAGAAAGGAAGATACAATAAAAGAAAAACACTGAGGTAAAGTGCTGCGGCCGTGGATTATTGGAAGAAGCATTTTACCTAGAACAGAGATTAAGGAAACTGAAATGTTCCAAGTAATATTCTTTAGGTAACATATTAAATTTCTTCTTTACCGCACCAACTATAATTTAGTGATTTCAGTTGAAGATATTTCTAGGTGAGCTCTCTGGTAATTCCCCCCACCTCTTTTTGTAATGAATGCTGTTTTTCTCATTCATCAATTTTAAATGATTCCATAATTGTTTTGGGCTAAAAATTAGTTTTCTCTTTATACTAGAGAATTAAGTGAGGGTCCTATATAAAAGATCCTACAGAGTGAAATATTAGAAAATAGCTTAAGCAAATAATTGATACAGTCATTTTAATTGCTACCTTGTTATCTGTGACCTAGATTACTTAGTGGTTTTTATGAAGCCTGATTTACTGGAGAATGTTAGACTCAGAATGGATGGATTCCTCTTTCTGTTTTTTCAAATTGACAGTGTTCCTATAAAAACAAATCAAGCCAGTAAAACTCATATTTGGTACGTTTTTCTAAACAGCAGGTTTATATTAAATTAGATTTAATAAAGAAGAAAAATTTTTTCTATAATTGTGATCCCCATACAGAGTATATATATATATGTTTGTGTGTGTGTATACACACATATATCAAGGCTGCCAAGACAGAAAGCAATCCTATATTCTCTTGGAAGACTATTATACACGATCAAACAAAATGAACCAGAAGTTTACTTTTTTTTTAACAAACTAAACCAAGCCTCCTGAAAAAATGTGGAACCAGTGTCAGGCCTTGAACCCTAGTTTTCTATTCCCTATGTCAGATTCCTTTGAAAAGGCTCCTGAGTCATGACTCTATGAGTCATCTCATCTAATGAAGGCACAAAGAGGCATTTATTTTTGATTACTATTGCTCCCAAAAGCATAGATTCCATTACCAGAGTATGTAAAAGTCTGAATGAAAACCATATAGAATTGGAAAAGAATTGCCATTTGCAGGCTCACAGGAAGCCTCCTTCATGAGAAGTCATGATAATAATGATAGGCAAATGGTGACAATAAAAGTAAGAGAAAGACATAGAACAGGGAATTATAAGACACACACATGCATAAATAAGCAAACTCACACACGTGCCCATAGCATGACTTCAGTGTAAGGACTCTCAGCACCATCATTCAGATCAGTTCCCTCATTTGACAGCTCTTAGAGATAACAGATTGTCTCTCCAGAGAAGGGGAACATTCCGCCTGAGGTTTGGACCTGCCTCAATATTTTGTTTGTGTTGAGGTGTCTGTGTGTACACTATGCATAAACCTAAATGGAGATTGTAATGATAAAGACAGAAAAATCAAACCATGAGGGACCTGCACCAGTTATACCAATCAAAGGACATCAAAACAAACTGTCTATAGCTACCATGTTGCTCTCTGTGTAACTGGCATGTGAATAGAGTGTTCATGTTTCCTTAGCATGGCTGCTAAGAAATAGTGTCATCTTTGTCAGTAAACTCACATCTAGCCTCCTCATATTTTCTTTCTTACCTTGGTCTATGTGATATCCTTTTAAATGTTTTTAAGTTATTTTTGCTTAGTGTGTTGTATTTCCTTTGTGAACCATTTTGACTCTTTATAACAGACAAGTGAAAAGAAGACAAGGCAGGGGTGAGGGGACAAAACACAAAGAGTGAACCTGTGTCCTGGACCTTGAAGTTCACTAAGTCTTACATTAGGAGCTCACTACTTGCTAGCTTTTTAAACTTTGAGCATGTTTTGTAACCCATGACTTACTTGACTTCTCTTAGCCTCAATTTCATCTAAAATGGAAAGATATCAGCACTGATCTCAATGAAAAAATATAGTAAGAGATCAAGTAATGTTAGTAGCTTTCTTCCTGATTTTCCACCTACATCTAAATTCTGTGTATATATTATCTATGAATCTGTGCATATGCTTATTTATCAAATGTAAAGACGTATATGTACATATATATTAACATATACACATATGCACAACCTCTCCTGGACACTCCTATAAACACACACAAAACTAATGTATGTATGTGTGATCAAAACCTTATTTAGAAAGTCTCTACTCATTAATTTCCAAAGAACTTCAATGTCAGCAGTTGGGAAATTAAACTATCCTTCACCACAGTGCTGTTTTGTTTTCTGTTAAAATTATGATATATGGAATATACTAGAAATAAGTATAGGAAATGAGCAATTTTATTAAAGCAGAGTTTAGGTAATTTCTATGTGTTCAATAGTAACTAAAAGAAATTCTTCCCTTTGGGTCCCCCACCCACCCTCTGATTGACTCTGCCTGTCTGCTGCAACAATCAGCACTATGGTACACAGTGCTCACCACTGACCTATTGCAGACAGTTAATCAAGAGCAGAGAGAGCAGCTTTCACAGTACAAGCAGTTACTTGTTCTCAACTTTTTAAAGTTCATAATTCAGTCTTACTGTCATTTCTTTCCTCTTGCCAGTGCTTTTATGAAAGGTAAAGCTGAACAGAAAGAAAACCAGAGTCATTAACTGTTTGAAAGTTTAATGTGCTACCAAACCAGAATTAGATGTGATAATGAAATTTCCACTGCTGAAAGCACTTTGCTAACTGATGTATGTAGTGAGAACGTGGTCACATCACCAAAGAAAATAAAAATCATGCTCTTTTTTTTTATTTCTCATTCAATGTTTTTTGTTTAAACTGGCCAAACATCAAATTAGACTTCAGTTAGGATACATTAAAAAGTGTGTTTAGTAAAATCCCACTTGTTTCTTTTAGAAAATGCATTCTCCATTTATCATATAGATGTTGACCAAGTAACCTTATGCCTAGAGATGTTCTAGGACAATGGATAAGGATTTGTTAGACCTTATTCAGCCATCCTAATTGATCATAAGAACATCCAAATCACCAGAGTCCTTTCCAAAGGACTTCCCAGTCTGACATTCAAGGTATGTCTAAATAAAATTCCAGTTTACCTTTTCTAACTACAGATGCTCCCCAGTTAATGATGTTCAGTTTACAAATTTCCAGCTTTATAATGGCATGAAAGCATTCTTTGGATTTTGAATTTTGATCTTTTCCCAGGGGAACCCTATGCAGTAGGATTTTCTCTCTCTCTGTCTCTCTTTTTCTCTCTTAGCACCTAGTCAGACACATGTCAGAGTGGCTGTTGCTAAGCTAGGATGTTCCACAGGCTAGGTTTAATAGATGCATTTTTGACCTCAGATATTTTCCATTTGATATAAGTGTATCCAGACATAATCCTAAATAAGTTGAAGAGCATCTATATTTCAATTTCTGCCTTCTAGGCATAATATAGTCAAAATGGATAATGAGTTGCTCCCCAATACAGTCCATTCTTTTCTGATCTTTTGTCTTCACACAGACTATTCTGTCCTCCTCCAGCTCTCAGGCAGGGCTTCATCTGCTTGCTTCCCCTCCTCCAGGTACCCATTGTGCCCTTCTTTCTACCACTTTCACTTAGACACCTCTTTCAAGTCAGCATCTATTGAAATTATATTCTTTTTAAGTTCAGTTAAGCTGCCTTTGTTATCAAGAAATTATTCCTTTTTGCCCATCCCAAACTGGCCTTACCTTTTTCTTGTCTCTATCCAGAGTCACCTTGATTTACCTCTTGTGTATCACTTCTCATAGCCTTTGACACACAATAGGAATTCATTCACTGTATGACGAATGAGTCAATGACTTGGGCTATATTATACTTCCATTTCTCTTCAGCCTTTTCCTCTTCATCAGTTTATAAGCTGCTTAATGATAAAGAAGAGGAGGTTTGTGGGTAGAGGGTGCTTGCTAACCTTTATAACCTTTTCATTACCTAATAAGCTCATTGCACATAATGAAGCCTTGATAAATATTTCTTGAATTGCATGATTAATCTGGGACAGTCAGACTTGGTTAGAAGCACCTCAGGATCACTCCTGGATTTATCAGAAGCAATGCCAGTGATGCAAGAGGTAATTTTCTTTGCTGAATCATAGCTGAATTTATATCACACTAAACTTTGGAAGGTACCACTTTTCAAATTAAATACAAAAACAATATCCTTCCTGTATGTAAAATCTTAAGTTCTCCTGGCTCCTTTCAGGCATAGGGGCATCTCTGTAAGGTGTTGACCTAAATTTCTTCTGACCTAATTTCTGTGTTGCAAAAGGAATTCGGTGCAGCCAGCCCCCACTGAGGAAAGGTTTTGTTCTACATCACTGTCAAATTTCAATGACAAATGGAATGAACTTTGTTAGTCCTTTTGAGATTCCAGAATAGCTCAGGATATTCCCCTCTAGTATCTAAGAGGATTTCAGTGATTTGTCCTGCTGGCTACATACTGTAAAAGGGCCTCCCTCTGTCCTGTGCATTTCCCTAGAGCAGTCAGGCATGCCCCAAGGAAGCACCAGGCACTATCTACAAGCACTTTTACTGAACAGTAGCTAAATGAATGGAGAAAAAATGTGACAAAATAGATTCGTTGGGCTCTTGAATCTAAAATAGAAACATTTCTCACCACTAACAAACTCTCCTTTGATTCTACTCCTAAGTATTTTGAAGCAAAAATAAACTTGCCTCTACTCCTATGATTAAAAAAAAAAACATAGTCTTCCTCCCAATGATAAAGACTGAAGCACTATTTTCCAGTATATTGTGAATATATTATTTTATCTGTATGTGTGTCAAGAAGGGAGAGGCTAATGAAAGAATAGGCATTAGCCAAAATAATTCAATAGATTTAAAATAATTCAGTAGCTATAAAAGTTACTAATCAATAGACAGGAATATAATAAAAATGTTTTTCTTTGAGTTTTTTTTCTTTAAATGAGACCATGAATAGTTTCAGTCTCTTACTTTACAGAAGAAGAACATGCTAAATGTCTGCCCAGGGCCTCTTTCTAATGTGGTTATTAACCAATGACCATTATTTGACTCATGTATTCATATGCAGTTTCAATATGGGATAGACTGATTTTAAGATTCAAAATTTTAATCATCTCAGCAATATGGCGACTGTGTCTTAAAATGTTTAAGATTGCTAGAATTCTCTCATGTTTGATCATAAATTATAACTTTAAATGTTACTCCATTATTTCCACTGGAAGCAAGTCTCTTGGAAAACCTTAAGTCACCACACCCTGCCAGTTGGTGATGTGGTCAGCAGAGTCTCAAGGAGGTCAAAGAGAGCAGCTGTCCCAGCAATTCAGCCTGAACCTAAATGGTGACATGAAAGAGCATAGCAGGAGAAAAGAGGCTGACAAATGAAAGCAAAGAGGCAACTTCAAAAGAGAAAAGACAAAAGAAAACACAACACATAAAAAAATAAGTATATAGGGAAATTTATTCCTAACAACAACAAGAGTAGAAGAAAAGTAATCTGGAGAGGAAAGAGAATTTCAACCACAAAATGAAACAAAACAAAACATACAAGCAAAAAAGCAACAACAACAAAAATGTTGAGCATTTCTTGAGAGAACTCCTCAAAAAGCTTTTAAAAAAATGAGCAAACAAAACACAAACACACACACCGAGTGAAAGATGCACCTAGATAAACAGGTTATATGAAAAAGAGAAAAGAAAGACAAATGAAGTCTTCAGGGAGTAAGCCACTGGGGACAGACACTGCATCCAATGCCAGGAGAAATGATGACCCAAGCAAGCAAACCCATTACTAAGGCATTACTTCACCAAGACTGTGTTACATGGTGTCCAGAAGAACTGATGGTCTTGAATTTCATATATTATAGTAAGTAGACTGGTGCTCAGTATTAAACCCAGAAGTGGAGAAACGAGGAGGAGAAGGAGAAAAGAAGGAGGAAGAAGAGGAATGCATACAGATAACGGGATTGTCTCGCTGGTTCTTGAGCAGACAGTTGGCATGTTTAATCTGTTACCCAGATTAAACAGAATAGATTCTCCCCTGAGAATACTCATCAGAATCTCTAAAGTAATCATCTACTAAGGGTTTTTTTTCTTGTGAAATCAAAAGTAATTATTATTCCAGAGTTGATTGTTTTTGGAGATAAATTTCTTGGCATATTTCTGTGAGTTGTAAAGGACAGCAAGTACATACTGGTGTGAAGCAAAATTTGAAAAATTAATGGCTCAGTAAGAAATGGTCTCAGGAGATGCCATTACAAAATGGCCTAGGACAAGTTGTATGCAAATTAGATACCTTTTCTGGGTTTCCTGCATCTCTTTGATATCCTCTAATTAAGGACTTCTTGTGACCCTCCACCCTGATTCCTACATGAGGCAGCAAATCTTTTAATAAACAAGTAAATCAGTAACTAAAGATACATGCATGTAAGCTCTATGCAGAACTTTAAATCATTTTCTCCTTCTTCTTCAGCTGGTAACTAAAAATACATGTCAACATTCATATAAGTTCTTTTTCTACTTCTTTTTCTTCCTCTTCTCCTTCCCCTTTTTATTTGGCAACACTGGGTTAAAACTCAGGTCCTTGTGATTGCTAGGCAAGCACTCTACCACTTTAGCCATACCTAGGCCCTTTTTTTTCAGGTTTAGTTATCTTTTGGATAGGATCTATTTTGGCAGGGACCCCATCCTCTTACCTACACCTCCGTGTAACTGGGATTACAGGCACAGACATGCACTATCACACCCAGCTTGTTTGTTGAGATAGAGTCTCACCAACTTTTGGCCTGAACTGTAATTCTTCTGATATCCACCTGCTGAGTAGCTGGGACTAGAACTGTGTGTGTATGTGTGTGTGTGTGTGTGTGGTACTGAGGTTTGAACTCAAGGCTTTGCCCTCACTAGGCAAGCACCTTACCACTCTGCCATGCCTCTCCCTCATTTCTTCTTATGTGGACGAGTTTGCCATGATTGTCTATTTCAGGATCTGTTTGAGAGCCTTTGGACTCTGCATGGCCGTCTGGCATTGCTACTCTCTGATCCTGCTGTAACACACACCTGCTGCTCCACAATCATCTCTGGTCAAACACGTGGAAAAGAGAACAACTTCTAAAATCCATTTTTACTTTACCAAGAACAAAGATAACAATTTGAAGCAAAAGCCAGGTCAAATCTAGCTCTTCATAAAGTTGTCTGGGCCTATCTCTGTTTGTGGAAAAACCTCGCTGTATCTCTGTTTTCAGAAGCCTCATAGATTGAATGATCAGACTGTTTGAAAAACCCATCATCCCACAAGGATTTGTGAAGTGTTGACCGTCTGGTATATGGGTGTTCTGAATAAAAGGATTTTGGCAGCAGTTTTGAGATCAGAGATCCACGATTAATTCTGACTGCTTGGATCAATAAAGATTGTTTTCCTTTGACACAGAGCACCTATAAAATTATGTAATTTGAGGTATAGGAAAATCATTGCCGCATAAGCAAAGAGTACATTGCTACCCACAGAATCCATTTAGTAATAATTTCAACATGAAAAGTAAGACCATTATTTTGATAGAACAAATGCATTTGAAAGTCATGAAAGATTATATCAGTTAAAAATTATATTTGCATAAAATACACTTTCAGCACAAACTCACTCAGGTGTATATTCACACCAGAAATGCAATTCAGTGTGATCTGTTTCCTAAAGGAAAAGTACATGTGAGAATTTAGATTATTTTGTCTAGCACAGCTGCTGCTTGTACTGCAAAAGCAGAGATGCAGCTGATGACAAGGTGGAATGGAACTTGACACCTCCATTGGCAACCAGCCAAGAATACAGAATGTTTTAGCCAGGCTGAGGCATGTGATCCATTTCTTAATTGTTGATAACATATAATTAGGACAATCTAAGCCTAGTTTAATGAATGCAATAAGTTAAACTCTAGTGCTTGACTATACTTGGATAGACTTTGTTAGTCTTGGAGTGTGGAACTGTAGAGTAACGTTTTATAAACAGTACAAAATGGAATCTTCCCTTTACAAACTATCAGCCTAGAATTATGGCCGACATCCTAACCCACAGTATAAATTCTGTGCACTGTATAAATGTCAACTGATATTCATGGCCAATGTGCCCAAAATAAATTCTACCCTTGAAGATTTTAAAGGTAAGATTTATGTGAAGAAATTGGGCACATATTTAAAAATGACAGACTACACGTTCTGCTAATCAGTTATCAGCCTGATTTATTTTGACAGGTTTCTTTCTAAGATGATCAGAGCTCAGTCTAGTGTACTATGTGGGTTTTTTTCAAAATGCAATGATTTTCTTGAAAATAATGAATTGATAATTAACTTCTTATTAAAATAGATTCACTGCATTTATTTATCTTTTCACAACCATATTTCTTACCTGGGGGATTTGTAAAAACATTTTCATTATACAGGATGCGAAAGACCTTTACCTAGACCCCAAATAAATTCAACTGAATTTTTCATATCTCTAGTAAAAGATTTGTTTTTTTTCAAATGGGAAAGAACTCTACCAATATATAAATATTACAAGAAATTTAAGTTTTGAAAAATGCATTTTAGCTTTGGACAAAAAGAAAAAACAAAAAACAACTTTCTTAAAGGGAAGCTCTATTTGTCCATAGCATGCATGCTTTCTCTGGGTTTTTTTTTTTTTTAAATTTGTTCTAATGTTATCAGAATCGATTTTTAGTCCTAGTCATCCCAAAGGAACTGTCTTGAGTGAAGCTCTTATCGGGAAACTGTAATGAAGAATCAGCTCGCAGAGCTGTTACTATGGTGCTCACATATCTGAAGAAATTTTTAGTGGAAATAAAATTCCAAAGCACTAAATTTAGAGGTATTTCGTTTCCTAGTAAGAGGCATAAAA